TCACCTTCTTCATTGTTATTTTCATTGTTTTCGTTCGTAGGAAAATATGGTGATGTGTTTAGTATTGACATTTTTTAAGATTTATTTCAAAAGGTGAAATGTTTCACTACATTATGCATGTGATTTAAAAAAGGAAATTTAATAATTATATGATACGATAATCAAAAGTTGTTTAAAAAAAAAAATGCAAACTTTATCAGATTTTTTATATGAATACGGTTTAGAATTAAAACCACACCTTACAAAAAACCGGATACTCAAAGTTCTTCAACCACTTCCTAAAGGATTTACTTTAATACCATCGTTCCCACTTGCATGTTTTCCAAATAATAATGAAGTTTCAAAAATAAGATGTGATCAATGTTTAGGAATTAAACCATTAAAAACTTGTTCAAAATGTCATAAAATTTTTTATTGCAGTTCCGAGTGTCAAACACTTTCATGGAAATATCATCATAAAAAACTTTGTAGTATTTATGCAAACGTTGAGCAAGGAACAAACGTTGATGATGATAATGACGAAAAGATGGAAAAAGAAATGTTGAGAAGAGTTTCATTGATAATTTCAAATTATCTTGAAAATCTAAAAAAAAAAGACTTTAGCAAAGTGAAAACAATAGATGAAAGAACACTGATAAACAACATACTTTGTGAGACATTTTTGAGTTTGATGACACATCGTGATGAACAACCTCAAACTAAACTTGAAAATTATCGAAAGACTGCATCTAAAGTCTTTGCTGAATTGAAGTTAACCAATTTATCAGAAGATGACTTAATCAATTTTTTGTGCAAATTTTATTGCAATAATTTTTCTATTCATGATTATCAAATATTTACCTTTGGCGATGGAACATGGGCGAATCAATTCAATTAATTTCAAGACAAATAAACCAATAACTAATTTCCAATTCAAAGTTTACGATTTATGTTCACAGGTATTTTCAACTACATATCATTTTTCAATTAATTTGCTTTTTTTAATTTTGTTTATTAATTTTCATTTCTTAAAATATTTAATATTGTTGTGATATAAAGATCCCAAAAGGTAAAATCGCTTAAAGTTGATTAATTTAATTCATTGATTACTCATTAAAATTATTTTGGTTGGATTAAAGGATACGTATCAACATATAAATTGATAGCAAATTCAATTTCATCTTCACCAAGAGCAGTGGGCGGTGCATTAAAAAACAATCCTTTTGCGCCTTTACCAATACCATGTCATAGAGTTATAGCTTCAAATTTTTTTATTGGTGGATTTAATGGTGAATGGTTTAACAACAACAACGACAACGATGACGACACTAACATTAATAATATAAATATAAAGAGAAAGTTTAAATTATTA